TCAAATGCCAGAGTGCTGAGCAATGATTGAAATGCTTTCCGAACTGGCACGGAGACTATTAACTCATCATGATTACGACCTCCTTGGATGACAGAGCCCTGGCATGTGCATGCATAGAGAAATAAAGCTTCAGAATTTGCCCACGTGCTGCTTCTCCCAAGTCTGATTAACGCACTCCCTCTTAAGTGTAAATTATTTATGAAATAATTGGACCTGAGAAGGAAATGAGCCAGAACAAGCTTTCAGTCAACGAAAACTCAATAAATAATTTACAGCCTAATCTCTGAGTATTTTTGACAAAAGGAGGTATTATAATTTTATCAGAATGGCTTCGCTGCACCTGACCGCCCTGCTAAAGTGATTTAGGTGCTTCTCATACAGAAATGATTGCTCGCTAGTGCGCAGTTGGCTGCCTTGAAGTGCCACACCTAATAAGCATTTAGCGAATCCGCGAATAGCCAAAATTACACGCATTGCCATGGCGCAGGGAAAACGTGCTGAGACCTGGCAGTGCCTTGGAAGCATGCCTTTGTAACCACTTGCAGCAGCGTTTTCTTGAGCTAAAGAACTCTCAGTTGAACTGCTTTACTAACATCAAGCCATAGCAGTGAAAACGTTGACTTTCACAGGTAAGCCTGCTTGGCAACGCGTATTACTTTTTCGCATCATCATTCTTGAATTAAATGTGTGCACGAATGGGAACAAAGCGCGGAAAGGAAATCATATCAACCATTGCAGTTGGCAATAGATAACATAACTACCTGAAGAGTAACAACCAAGTCTGCGACAACTAAATAAATTCCTAGAAGCTGCTGTACTTCTCGTCTATTCACCACCCCTTGGAACTTATAGACGGCGAATTTCAATCTGTTTAAAGAGAACGAGAAGTCGGTCAGTGGCTTCTGAGCGCAGTAGACCGTTAATGTCTTTTGTCATTACCTGCCCGGTATCACACTGCAGCTCTTTGATGAAAACTCGCCATTTCAGTAATAACTGACGCTGGATGTCTGAACTTCATAAATAGCAACTGGACTTTTATTCTAATCAGGCTGTAAAGTATGCGCATGCACGTTAAGTCATATTCAAAGAGATTAAATACAGATCAGAATTTTGAAACAAATTCTTATGGACATAGGTGAATAAAAAGCATACAAAGAAGGCATTACTTCCGACCTTTTGAGCCTTAGCTGCAAAGCGCTTACCCTACCTGCTGCTCAGTAACCACAACTGATTATTTAGGTGCACCCTGCTGACATGGACGCTGACAATCGAGTGATACTTAACGTAGGTGGTGTAAGACATGAAACTCACAAGCACGTTCTTAAAAAGATTCCTGCCACTCGACTCTCCAAACTGACAGAGAACCTGGCCAACTATGATCCGGTGCTGAAGGAATATTTTTTCGACCGCCACCCTGACGTGTTCACTCAAATATTGAACTACTATCGCACAGGTGAGTTTTGCATGACAGCGCTTTACGCAGCCATCTTGCTGCGTCCTTTATGCGTAGGCACAATGGCTCAGGAGACGCAACATATTGATATTATCGTATAATACAAAGCTCACACGAATTAGTAATTAGTAAACAAAGCAAAACAGTGCATAATGTTAAAGACTGACTTGGAAAGCATGTAGTCGTAGGCTGTTGCTGAGTTAATGTTGGCGCTTTTTGTTTTACGCGTGATCCATTTATTTATTCGTTTGATCACCCATAAGACAAGACGATAGATGTTGCTACCGCAAAGTAAGCACAAAAACGTGTGGAGGAAAGCTTACGAAGGAGCTCATTAATAAAGACAGAGACTCCGCAGTTGATTGTGTTGATCAAGTTTGTGTGACGACTGACCAGTGTTGCAGACGTAAAGGAATTCAAAATGCCATGGAAAGCTTCGACGAAAAGAAATAAAGTGCTAACACAAAGAAAGCATAGTACAAGCAACTCAGTTTTAATCACGTTTACTGATTTTGGGTAGACCGCAGTTCCCCACTGTCGCTTTTACAGGCAAACTGCATTACCCAACCAATGTATGCGGACCTTTATTTGAGGAAGAATTGGAATTCTGGGGATTAGACTCAAATCAGGTGGAGCCATGTTGCTGGATGACATATACGCAACATAGGTAAGCTTTTACTGGTAGCCGTTAGAAAGAAGTCTTACATCCCGTGCAGAAATACACAGGAAACGTTAGCCGTGATTGAGCAGCTCGAAAACAGAACTTATACAGACGAGGAACTGGCAGTAATGTTTGGATGGGAGGACGATTATCTTGCAAACAACCTGAATTGGTGGCAGCATCTAAAACCTAAAATATGGTCCCTCTTTGATCAGCCATGGTCGTCGTCAGCGGCTCGAGTAAGCTTTAAGGCATTTTATCTCGCTATGCCAAAATTTCCATTGTTTAAACGCTTAAGAGTTGTATTAATAGATGCTGCTCGTAAAGGTTTTTCTTTCTTCTTTCGTAATGGGTGCCTATTGTTCAACTGTTGTAAGAAATCAAGCTGCTATTTTTATTGACGTTAAAACAACATTAAAGACAAAGCTTTCGGGACCATTCGTATCCCATCATCAGTGTCTGTTTGCAAAGTCAGCCATTCGCAGGCATGTGAGCTCCTTCCGGCCCATTAAAATGGCAGTATGAGCAAATAACTATTATTAGCTAATATAGAGGATCTATAACTTGATCAGTAAAGGATGTTATAAAAAACGGGCTGTTTCCGTATAACAGCTGACAGAAATAGATCTTGCTCACAATTATGATCAGACATTCATTCAGGCAAATGTCTGAAATCCGGAAGGTGAGGACGAAATTTGTATCTCATTCCATTTTAAGCGACGTGATCGATCTGCACATTATTCTTCGCTTCTTTGATTAATAAGACTTGTCTGAACGGGCGACATTTCACAGGTAGCTTGACGTTCCTGCAACTTATGGGAAATCTGTGATTCAGTCGTGTGAACGAATGATGAGGACCTTAATTTCTTTCGCGAATCCTTTGCTACAGCAAATAGTATTTTGCAATACTTGCATAGGGAAGAAACTAATGTGAATACTTTGAGTTGTATTGAAGTGGCTCCCTTGAAATGCTTCCGAATTCACATTTTTGAACATTACTATCCAATATTATTAGTGCCAGCTCGCGCTTTATCACCTATCAGTCGTTTACTTGAAAAAGAAACGAAAACATGTCAAGATGAGACAGCGTTTCAGATCTTGCCTATTTTAAGCATCATTCGTTGTAGCCAATAATTACTAGCAGTAATGGTCTTAGTATGGACATTTAAAAGTTGGCTTCTTGTACCTCCCATGCAGACCAGAAAATGCCGCTTGCGTCAGACGGCACAACGTTTCAATTAGGCATAGCCTAGTTGCAGTCTTCTCCTTTTCGTCTTATCTTCCTAGAAATGCAATGACTGAAGGCATAAAAAGATAAAGAGAAAGGTTTGACACTTAATTACGTTAATATAATGGCCCTGCTAAACTGTGAAGGAGAGTTTGAGCTTCTAAGCGATTTATTGATAGTTTACGTTTAAACAGAAAATTTATCTGAACTATTAATACAGTAGACAAAATCAATACCGAATCGAACCCACTATATGTAAGACCATTGCAACTGAAAAATGTTGTCTAGCCTTTACTGCCATCATAATTCATAGGAAGATATTAACACTATTTTCTCGAATAGTGGTACTGCTGTAGAAGAGCACAATTTTTTCCTTCGTCTAGTCTATGTCGACACTATCACTTGCAGTCTACGAGGAATTCACTTCTAAATCACGTTAGACTCGCTTTTATTGAGCCAAAATTACGGCGGAGCCTTCAAGATTCACTTGATTCCCTCGTCAGCGACTTAATAATCATAACTTGGCCATGAAAACTAATATAAGCGTAACAGTTTCAAGAGATCCCCATTTAATTCCCAAGAGATCGTCTACGTCTATGTTGGCTAATGGAAAGGATACCTAAGCAAGTTCACCTCCTTCATTCATTGACTGGGAACATTTACTTCTTCTGTCTGGGTGAAACATCTCGCTCTCTCAAATATGAATCAATTTCCGACTCTGTCCAGAATACCAGTGTCCAAATAAACAGACAATAGTTGAAAGATGAACTTCTGAGAATTATATCTGTATTAACACTTTATCTAAAGTCAGAAGGTGTTGTCCATCCATCAGGAAGCGTCCGCCGTCAGTTCAAAGCAGTTCCGTCATTCAGAATAGAATACGAAGTGTTCCATGCATGACAACGAAGCTCATCGTAAAAAATTCTGCATATGCGTCGTCCTGAACTTTCAGTTCTATATTAAGTAAATGATAAACCATAGCCTTTGCCATCTCATTAGTTAGGCGTAATGACAAACACCTGTTTCAGATGATTTCAACGATTTCCATATTTTTCATTTGTCTTTCAACGCTGGTGTTTTGCCTGAAAGCCCAACCGTCTTTTGTGGTTCCCAATTTGGAAAACATGACTGCCCTTGTATTTAATTGGAGTGTGATCCCAGGGTCACAAACAAAGTATATTGGATTGACGCAAGTACGAACAACAACTGACGACGTGCTGCTCTTCGTGGATTTGTTCTGCAACACGTGGTTTGCGTTTGAAATCATCATGCGCTTTACTTTCTGCCCAAGCAAGTTGTACTTTTTCACAGACACGTTGAACTTAATTGACTTCGTTGCAACTTTATCTTTCTTCGTGGAAATGACAATTCGCTTTATAAGCCGCCATGGCGAGAGTTACGACACGGTGCAGTTCTTCGGCATTGTACGAATAATGCGCCTCTTTCGGCTTGCGAAGCACTCATCAGGCCTTAAAATTCTCATACAAACTGTCAAAGCTAGCGCTCACGAACTCATACTGCTGGTATTCGTCGTCGTACTTGGAATTGTGCTTTATGGTTCCTTGATCTTTTATGCTGAAAGGAGTGAGAACAATCCAGAAAATGATTTTGACAGCATTCCCTTAGGATTGTGGTGGGCAATTGTTACTATGTGTACTATTGGATATGGTGATATGGTGCCTAAAACCAGTATTGGCATGGTAATAGGTTGCCTATGCGCTCTAACCGGTGTACTTACGCTTGCTTTGCCTATGCCAGTTATCGTTAGCAACTTCGAAATGTTCTATTCCCACGCTCAAGCCCGGGCAAAACTGCCCAAGAAACGACGACGCGTATTGCCGCCCGAAGAAACGAAAATGATGTTAAGACATCGGCCTGCAAAAGTAACAGCTGAAACAAACAAGCACGCATTAGCAAAAACCGATGTCAAGCCCGAAAGACGATCCACTCTACGAGCCATTGAAATGAAGTTAGAAAGGCGCGCAACTTCAAAAGTCATCGACATTAACTCCGCAGAAAAAACAGCAAGCAAGAAATAAAATCAAACTAGGCACTCCTAGCTTTGCCGTCATCATTTACACTGGTGAAGTCGCCCGAAGCGAGAAGGAATTTTGCAAATGGCATTCGCCGATCGACCGTCCATACGCACGAAATAGATAAACACTTGAAATGCGAAAATTGAATATGAAAAAGTGCTATATTAGTTTCTGCATCATCATTTCGCAAAATTCGCATTGAAATTTTAAACTGCTGAAATGGATGTGCGTACCGGATTCTCCACTGATAGCGATTAAAATATGCTCGATGAATAAAAACTTATTATGAAAGAATTTTTTCTAAATAAACCATGCGGAGATGGTTATGAGCTAGAGTTAACAGGAACTTTTTTCCGCGCTGTATTGGTGTTTGCACAATATTCTTTCGCTTGTAGATTTGGTCTTCGCTTCAGAAGGCAGAAGTATTAATAGTTTCCAAGAGAAGTCTGTTTCCAGCTTCTTCATCTATGCCCCAACCTGTGAACCACCTGAGCTAGAGAAAACAAATACAAGTTTAAGTAAGCATGAACTTATTAGAATCAAACCATCACATGATTATGATACCTGGAAAAAGAAACTTCTGGAAAGGTAAATTCCACGCACGAAGAACAGAAAGTGATTTTAATTAATACCATCGTTTCTAAACATGCCAAAAAACCAGTTCTTACACAACGAACATCATCTCTGTAAATCCAAATCTGTTTTTGGGAAAAGCAATCTGGTAAGAGTGACGTCAACTCTGCTCAGGCTTTTCAATATCAGACAGGGTGTCAACCATGCCATTACTCTCCTTGGAGCTATCAGCAGAAGACTTATCTCGCTTGTATCTAAATTTTAATCGAATCATAATTCGAAAATCTCAATACCATCGTTGTACGGTTTTGGCGGTGGTGGTTCCTCATCGGTAAACATTGCTTTAAGGACGTCCTGCTGAGACGTTATACCAATGACCTGCAAATGCAGCGTTTAAACAGGAAGACGTACAAGAGAGGCAAATTTTTGCCGTCACGACATAACTGCAACAAACACAAAGTCCGCTATGCGAAGTTAAAGCTACTCTGCGCAACAGGGACAATGTTCGCAGTCTGAGAGACGCTTTCTACCTGGGAGAAGAGGTTGTTCTTTACAAGGGAACGTTAAATATGTTTTCAAGTTAAAGTGCACATGCCACCACATTAAGTTACTGGGTAGCGCAGTCAAGGAAACTTTCAGTGGAATTGTAGCACTGAATTAAAATAATGGCACTTCAAGCACACACATATTAGCATTTGAATCGGCTTGATTCCTTCTGCAGTATTCGTCAAGAACAAAAATTAGAATAGGTGAACAGGTATCTTTTTGGAAAAATAAGCATAATATTAAACTTGCGATATGTGGAACTCACGTGCGTAGAAGCTGAAAATTTAAGCGCTGTCACAGTTCGTACTTACACAATGATGCTCATTTACTTTACTGATCATCTTTCTGATACGCTGTTAGCAACTTTTGCACAAAATAAGCACAAATGGCTATTTCAAAGGCAAACAGCTGAAAAAATAACGGAATAACTAGAATAAGCCCTTTCTAGTAAAGACAAAGGCGCTGAGATCATCGAACTGCGTACTAGTCTGTTGTGGTCTGGTTGCTGCTCAATAGCAACCTGTCAATTTTCCAAGCCGTATAGACATCAGTCATAAGCAAAGGTGCATCATTCTGCCCTTGATTATGACACCTTATAAAGCTAAAAAGGCATTTCTGAAAGCTTCAAGTAAAAAACAAGAAGTATCAGCAAGTTTAAAAGCTGTGCAAGAACTGTTGAAAATTGGCTGCCCCATTACAAAGCAGCTGATCTAAAGACGAAAAAGAAAATCACAAGCAGATGAAAAAATCATGTGATTCCTTGCAAAAGAAGGCGATCATCAGCAATCATGGATTTAATGGGCTAATAATATCGAACTTTTCATTTTTAACGAGTTTCTTTCACTTATCTTGAAATTTCACCCTGCTTATTAAATATATCTGCACAACTGTGAAAACCATGTTTTCGAGGTTACCTGCGCACTTCTACTAATGAAAGAACTCCAAAAGACGAAATAACAGCTGCTCGCTTCCCAAAGCAATGCATGATCAAAGCTGAGCACTTCCTTAACAACGAATGTTGTAAAGCATTTAAAAAATTAAACACTGGCACGAAGGAAAAACCTTACAAGGAAAATAAATCGCATAGTAATCAACAGTAAAACACCTTACAGCCTACTATTGTAAGATGCAAAGCGTTTTGCCAGAAATACTTTTAGCGTTTATGTGCGGAACTGTTAGATGAAATTGGCTGTGTGACAGCGCATATAAACATGCATACATAGCAAATTAGTGTACCCCCTACACCGACTGCCATTTTCCAACTAAATACAATAACGGCAACCTACTGATATATCCTTCTTTTCATAGCTGTTGCTTTATGTTATCCATTCTAATGAGAAGAGGTGAAAAGGCATTATCTGATGTAACAACTAAGCATCCTACCTATTAACAAGAACTCATTCAAAAGGATTCTGTGACTTATTCTTCTGTATAACGCCTCAGTTATATGGAAGATAACCAGTGAGACAAAATAAACGGAGATGTTAGAGAAACTTATTATGTTTGTATGGTAAGTTAACGTATTTGAAACAGAGGACTTTATGAACCCACCAACCAATGTACTCATCCACGTGACTTGCAGTGCTACATATAGATAGTTGATTAAAATAGTAGCAATACGCCCTCTCTACTAACAAACCAGAGAACACAACGCCTAGTACTGAAAGTATGGATGTCATGGCGAGCAATTGTAAGACTGCGTTAACGCTGAATGAATGAGTGGTATAATGGAAATATGGAAACTGGACGGCTACGTAAACTGCTTACCTCAATGATCTTTCTCCTTTCTATTTTTACCACAAATGCCAAACGCGCTGCAAAAACTTTATGTAAGCGGATATGACCTCTGTAACTGCCATACGTACGCAGTGTGCCCAAACGGAATTTTCTAACCACATCGAAAAGTGGTTGACTCTCGGGAACGGTAAATACGCTTAAGCATTCAGATGGCGTCAGAGAGGTAGAACGAATGAATTTGTAAACTGGAATACGAAAATTTGGATCAACCCTGAGTACCTGCAAACATAAAATCGCTCGTACGTGAGTGGTAGCTAAAGAGAATGTCGAATTACCCGTCTGGCAGAGATACAACACACTATGTTTTTTCTTGAAGATGAGTACACAGGAATATGCCGATGCGCACACTTCAAAACCTTAAAGAGGAACGGTAATAAGCCTGAAATGAAGTATCAAGCTTAATGAACTTTTAAAACAAACGCTTTGTCTATTTCGTCCTGATAATCTACCATGAACACCTTATCAAGTGGCACTAAAGCATCTGAGGCAGTTTTCTTGCTCAAACCGAGAATACCCTAATCAAAAAATGAATTACTGAACGAACAATTCAAAAGTGACTATGTTACTCGTATCACTTGAACTTCCATACTTGAAAGCTGCCCACTAAACTGGGTTGGTTCTGTAAGTTTTCCTTCTTCCTGAAGTAAAATTCTGGGATATCCAATTTTCAGTTATAGCAACAAACTTTTTCGAATAAGCTCTGAAAATGATCACGCCTCGGTCCATGTCGGCTAATCAGTTCTTTAAGCTCTTGTCTTCGATACAGATGACCAACATCTTTCCCGATAATAACGTCCAAAATGTATCCCAATGGAAAACTGATCGGGTAGCATAGGTACGTGAGCACCAAAACAAGGCTACAATAGACATATTGGCAGTAATATATCACAGAAGGTCAAGAAAGTAACGGTACTGCGCGGAATAGGCTCCTAAGCTTAAACCATATTTCTGACATACGACGAGTGGCAGTATTCTAAAACGGTGAACACAAAGCGACTTTTCCTCTCATACAACTTGCCTGCAAGTACTCGTCAAACAGCAGTATCACCAGGCATGTAACAGAAATTGCGACGATTGAATTGGAGATGCGATCTAGTAATATAGGCATCGTCTCGATTGCAGAAGCGTTAATTGCCACCAGCGCCACAATAACCTGATGATACCTACAAGCTGATACGTTGCACAAAAGTGATATTTGTTTAAAGACGGCAAATACCTTCGAATTAACATGAACATTTTGGTTGCCAATGCTTTGTCACTTTTCTTTCCCGTTCGCCATATCACTCTGACAGTGGTGACATCCACTGACGATATAGCTAGCACTAGGCAGGACAAATAACCTAACAACGAAAATATTTTAATGAACATGAATTGCAGCTATAAAAGGCAATTTTAAAAATTTGAGTTTTCCTGGGCTAATTTTGATTTCAAATTATCCATAGAAACTGAATAATGCACCCACACGCTGGAAAACTCACGACGTTCGCAAAATCGAAAATTTCCATGGAATTAAAAAAGTCTTTCAAAACCGTAAAGCTGGGCAACAGTATCTTTAAGTAAACGCAAACCTCATTGCCAAAAAGGGACGATACAAAATTTAACTTTTAAGCGGCAAAAGTACCGTAAATGGAATTGTGACTTTTCAGGTACAGCCATTTCGTCAGCACATTCAAAAACGCAGTACATTCACATAGTGTGAAGCTATTTCTGAAAAATCCACATCCCGTAGAGTGTGGCTGCTGGGTATACACCAGCACTAGCTAAGTTGAGCTAACTTGCAAGCATTGATTCATGGATTGCATAACCATGTTTGTAGGAAA